GGGAAGCCCCTGGGCTGTGTCACATGGTAAGGGGCAGGACATTGGTGAGATCTGCCAGCCCGGGGACAGCTGAACAGAAAAGCAAGCAGCGTTGGCAAGAGCGGAGCGGTTGGAGGCTACGGCAGGAGCAGGCTCAGGGGAGGAGCTGCTTCCTTCTGTCCAGGAGTTAATTCTCAGGGCTTGCACATTCTCCTTATCTACCACCATGGCAGTTTCTGCATCTACCTCTTCCCATAGTGGGCTTTGAATATGAATATGAATATGGAGACTAATCTTCCCAAAGCATCTACTTACTGAGTATTTTTAGGGGCTACTAGGAATTTCCTTGTTACTGGGTAACTACTCAAGGTTACTGAGGTCCGTGGGGTAGAATGAGACCCCCAGTAAGGCGGTGGAAGAGGACATCCCACTACACCACCCTACACTTTACATCAGCCCCGTGGAGATTCAGGGACTGCTCTACTTTTTGCCTGTCGGAGAATTAGCCCCACCCTAAGCCCCAAATTCCCCTGTGACACCGTGCAGAGACTGCTGATCCAGGCACGGAGTCAGCCCCAGCCTGGCTGCTGGTCTAACTGTGACCACCAGTGCATACCTTTGTCTCTCTTTGCACCATTTTCCTGGTAACAAAAGAGTGACAATAATCCTGTCCCAAGAAGCCATGAACACAGGGTTAGAATGGAAGGCAGCGGAATTGTATCTCAGACCAGAGAGGCCATCCAAGCTCGTGTTTGCCAGGGACCTCTGGTTGCAGAGGAATCTTACACAAGAACCCACTTATCCAGGCCTGGGAGGGTCTTCCCTTGGTCAAGTGGGGAGGGAGGGTCCCTACCCCAGGAATGCAGAGACTCCTCCAAGTTCATTGAAATACTAAGGATGGGTATTTCAGAAAAGCTCACGGGTCAGATGCCCTGAAGGGCAGAACGAGCGTTTTCTCCACAGACACCATGCATGTACCCTTCTGACCTTTGTGACTTAACTCTGACCAAGTGGGACTCAGGCCAATGTGTCTTAGTCTACAGCAGTCAGTTTGTGAAAACCAGCGAGCAGTTGCTGAGGTCTGGCGCCATGGTCAGAATCAGGGAAACCTGTGGAAGCTAGAGAATGGTTAGTTCCGTGAGGGTAGCCTTGTGATGGTCCCCGTGCAGCTGGTGACCTACATGTGCAACTGTCAATGGGACAGAAAAGAGACCCGGCTCATACTGAAGATCATTTCTGTCCTTCCTCCCCAGGACCCAGCTCCCCTCAGTCCCTAAGCGCTATTGAGCCCCTGGGGCACCTTTACAGAGTGTGCCCATGGGTTCCCCGTTTCCAGGCTAATGGACACATCCCCCTCTGAATGCCCAGGGCGGTGCTGAGCTCCCACCAATTAATTTCCAGTGGGCTCATCATAAACTCTCAAGACCAGTGCTGAGGCCACTAGCGTTTTCTCAAGGTTGCAACTCTCTTACAGGCAGAAATGGTTTGCTTTACCCATAGGGGACGTTTTCTAGACCACTAGAGAGAGTGGAGGACAGTCGCCTCCCTGATGCTTACAAAGTTCCTGCTGTATGGAGGAGAGTGAACATCCACAGCCGGGCACCCTGAGGCTCCAAACACGGAATTGAATGCACAAGACTTCCGGTATGGAGGTCGCTTTCTGGGGCGTTCAGCCAGCTCTGGGTCCACCACCACACAAACCAGGCCAAACCGTTATTACTACTTTCCAAACGAAGCCCGAGGCAGAATGGTCCAGTTGGAGGAAGAGACTCATAGGATGGTTTTTTGTTATCGGAGGAAGATACTATTTTCAAAAGGCATTTGATACTTAGGACTGTATATTAAATGCCACTTAATAGCCAAAAATCTCAATACCTTTCAAGGTAACTGCAAAGTAATGCTTGGGAGACTATTAACTGCTTGTATATCTTACACTATAATACAAGTCATTGGTAGATGAATGACATAGTCATCTCTCTTGAGCACTGTATACAGGGTAATGTATTCACTATCTCTTCATAGTCTCCATAGCCAGCTTTGTTTGGTTTTTATTTTCTTTTACAAAAGGGAAGCCAGGCTCAAGTTCCCAACATATCTTGAAAACAAAGGGTGGGTGTAGGCACAAGCATGGGTCTCTCTTTGCCTTCTCACCCGTGGTAGTTAATATTGGTGATTGACTTGACAAGATCTAGACTACCCTAGCAGTAGACCTCTTGGCATATCTGCGAGGGAGCTTTGGGATTGGTTTATTGTGATGGGAAGACACACCCTGAATGTGGATGACATCCTCCTATGGCTTGGTCCTTCAACTGGAAAAAGATGAGCATGAACTGAGCACCTGTGTCTATCTCTCCTTCAGAGGAGGCTCCGTGACTCCCTGCCAGCATGAGGTGCACCTTCCAATAGTGAGATGAGATAAACCCTTCCCTGCTTATGCAGCCATTGGGCGCCTTCCCACAGTAGCGGTCAGCTTACAGACACACTTCCCTACGCTTCACTGGACAGCCATGACTAAGAGATCTTCTCCCAGGAGCACCCAAGCCTGGGGGATGCCACCTGACCCTTCACTGTCTGAGGCAACCTTGGCAGGACCCTTCTGGAAGGTCCTTGCTCAGAGTATCTTGGGTAGACAGCTGTGGAACCTTTTCAGCGGCAGCTGAGGAGCTGGGGCCTAGAGCTGTAGGCAACACATGGTGTGTTGACATCTGAATTCCTTGCTACAATCATCCTATAGATTGTCTTCACCCTACTGTATGTGAAGGCAGGAGGAACTAACTGTGAATAAGAGAAATGATGGGTTAGCTTGCCTTCCATTTGCTTTCCATAATAAATGATATATTTGCTTGAACACTTGTCCATGTCTTTTCTTCCTGGCATCCTAATGGCAACAATGCATGACTGTGCCAGCATCGACAGTGGCACCCACCTTGCATGCCTTTTGTTAGACTGTGATTGGAGGAGCCAGCTCACTTTGCTATGTTGTTCTACCTGCTTGTCTTACCTCGGTTGTTAAACAGGGCAACGGTGTCCCTGAGTGATTGGGAGCCAGATAAGGACCCAGTCTAGCACGCCTCATGCTTGCTGTGTGTAAGGCACCATTCCAAACACTTTGCACGAGTTAGCTTAGTTAATCCCCCCACGACACTCTACGGTGGATACCATTACCAACACACCTTCTTCTACAGAGCAATGAGGTGACTTTCTCAAGGTTGCTCAAGGCTCATCCATGCCAGGCTTGGTCCTTGTGATCTGGACCTGGTGTGGGATGTCTTTATGCCCAAGATTTCTCTGTCCACGCCCTTTCCTCTCTTCTGTGACTAACTCTTGTATACCACAAGAATCCTATCGTGCCGGATCTCCGTGTTAATAAGTAGAATGTGACACAATGGTGATAGAGGTGTGTGGCTTGAGTGCATCTGCCAGCGTTAACCTCAGAGCTTAGTTGTCATGTTGGAGGGTCTAGGGGAGAGCCAGCCAGGCATGGCGCTCTATAATCCCAGTGCTCAGGAGGCCGAGGCAGGAGTATGGTTAGTCTGAGACCAGCCTGGGTTACATAGGGAGACGTACCTTCTCCTGGAGAAAAAGAGGGAGACCAGGGAAGATAACAGCAGGCTGGGTCAGGGCACAAGGGTTCTTTCTGTCCTTCTGAACAGATTGGTGGATCCATGGGTGGTCTTGGTTGGGTATTTTGTTTTCTTTTTTGTCTACATCCCTCTTGTAATGTAGTTGTATGGTTTTGTGTCACCTGACTGAAACACTTCAATGAGGAACGGTTGGTTTCAGCTGCTGGATTCAGAAAGATCAGCCATCATGGCCAGGAGGACATGGGGGACATGACAGAAAAGAACAGCTAAGATCCTGTGGGTCAGGAGACAGAGAGAAGGGGCCACTTGGACTCGGGTGGCTTCCTTTCGTCTACCTGCACTGCAACCCAAGGGTCTGGACTGGCCCCTTAGTTACTCCTCCCAGGGAAATACCCTCAGAGTCACTCACAGATGGCAGCTACCCCCTAGGTCTTCTTGACAGAGCTTAACCTTCACACCATGTTATGTCCTGGCTTTCATCCCTTCCAACCCCGCTAGCTTGGACAGGCCAGCCTCTAGAACCCCAAGTAGAATAAATTCTTACTCTTTATAAGTTACTCAGTGTGTGGCATGTTCTAGTAAAGAGGGATGCCTAACTGGTATGATTAAGTACTTTTCCTCATTCTTGACCTTTGAGACACTGTTAGGTTTAAAATCATGAAAGGATAGTCAGACACACATTTGCTTGATGCATGTGAATAACCCATGCATAGGTCTGACCATTGGAAGTTTAGGGATGAAGTTCTGAGGACGCCATGGGCATTCCTGAAAATTAAGGTGCTTTCAGAATTGATTAACCTCAGCACTCACATTACACCTGTGGTTTCAAGCAGGCTACCCTCTGCAAGCCAAGCCCTTCAGTAGTGCTTGGTGCTTCTTTGGCTGGGCACACGTAGCCTGGGCATGGGTCAGGAGGGTACTGCGGGCATCTACCAGCAGAGATGAGTGCACACAGCCCTCAAGTGAGAGGCCTGAATGACCGTGCCTGTGATTCCGGCTCTAGGAGTGTGAACCAAGGCTATGTGGTAAGAGAAAGAATATTTAATTTCAGAAAACAAGCCTCTCCATCCAAGGAATTGCCCCATGAATTCATTTAAAAATTACTGCATCTCTTCCAAGTGAAAAAGAAACTCATATTTCTTAATGCCTGTTCATCATTAAAATTATGGCAAATTATTGCACAGCTTTTGGCTGATAAATATTCAGAGGACAAGTGAAGGCCATAAGATGGATTAATTCTCCAGGAGTACAAACAAAAACTTTCGGTATTTCATATCACATAATTAAATGTGGTTTCTAGAGCCACAGCTTGGGACTTGCTAATTAGTTGATTTGAGTAGATGCGTAGCTATGTTTTGTGCTTGATGTTCAGAACTAGAGTTGTTCTAAGCCCTGCACTGCACTTCTGATGGAGAATGCTTGCAAAATCGGTCCTACCTGCAGAAGTCTGGGGGCACCATGCCGTAAACATCGACCCTGTCGCAGAGCTCCAGTGCAATTGTCATGGTGAACCAGCCGGTGCTCAGCCATGTGTTGGAGATCTTCCTGGAAGGAACAACGGTAAAGTCTGCACTGTGGTAAAGCAGTGCCAGGCACATAACCATGCAGGACCTTTCTGGAGTAAGGCTGGCTATAAAAGATACCCCCAACCCTAACACGCACACACACACACACACACACACACACACACACACACACACACTCACACACTCTCTCTCTCTCTCTCTCTCTCTCTCACTTCTTCACATTTGATAAACATCAAATTTTTGCTAAACTGAAATCTCTATGGGTACAATAATAACTGATGTTGATGCTTGATGGATTTCTACATCATTGAGGATAATGATCATTGAATGCTTAGGTGTGTGTTGTCATAACTCAGTTGTAAGGTGACAATATCCATGTGGCTATTTGTTATCAGAATACTTAACTGTGCCCCTAAACAAGCTAGATAATGAACAATATGAACATGAATAAGCGTAAGATCTTGCTATTTCTCTATTCATCCAGCCAATTATTGATCTTCTATGTAACTATGATTCTAACATTTATCTTTTATTAATATTTACCACAATCATTTATTACTTAGATAACATCAATCTATCATTCTGCCATCTTCTATCACCATGTATCCCTTATCTATCACTCAATCTATCATCTATCTTACCATGTATGTGTATGTCCACCCATCTACCCATTTATCATGTATGTATGTATGTATGTATGTATGTATGTATGTATGTATGTATATGTCCACCCCCACCACCCATCTGTAAGAGGCTGTCCCCAAGCACCATTGAGAGCATTTGTGACTGAATGTATTTTCTTAGGAGGGGCACATACATTTGGGGAGGGTAGAGGAAGGGAGCCAGGGGGATGTTTAATAGAACACCTACTTTTACTTTACCTAAGGGAACTCAGGGCTTTCTGAAAAATACCTCAGTCCCAAATCATCAAGTTGAAGGAAATAAATCTGTGCATGTTGCTGCTCATTAGCATGTCTATTCAGACCTCTGAATGAAGCCGGACCACATGCTCTCCTAAGGAGACCTGTGACAGCACCAAGATCCCTTCTGAGTCCTGAGAGGGACTCGCTGGTCTCCACGCTGCACGGCTGTGGATGCTCATTTCAGTTCTTTGGGGATTGCTGCCCTTTCTCTTTTCAATGCCAATGGCATGCCTCATTAGCCAGCTCCAAACACCTTGTCCCCAAGGTCAGACTGTCTGACTTTGCCTGGCCACATGGCTGCATGTGAGGGGAATAGCAGAGCTGCATAAAGGCCTTTCTAGATGTGCTGTAGAGCTCCCCGCCTTGAGAAGGAAGGCTGTTAGACAGTTGGCTTTGGTTCCCTTCATGCAGGGACAGGAAAATACTGAAAAATAAGGAGGCATTTGCCTTGTAGAGTGCACGGCAGATATGGCTGGGCTCCAGTTTCAGTTATGAGTTCTTAAATCTCTAACATGTTTTCTGCCATTCTAAAACTTCCTGCCCAGATGAGATAATGTGACTCACTCGACTGTCTCCTATTCCTGTCTTTCACAGCTCAATGACCTGAGGCAGTCGCTGAGCCTTGATGTCTTATCTACAAAGCAGGTGTGGGGTGCGCCATCCACTGGCCATTTGAAAACTAAATTAGAAAATGTCCACAAGAGGATCCAAGTGAGATGTGTGGACACATGGCTTCTGGGGGGAGTGAGCAAAATAAACAGCTCAGCATCTCTTCCAGCCCTCCTCCACCGGGGCACATCAGGAGGAGGCACATCAGGATGCCAGGGTGGCAGCTCTAAAGAGCAGATGCTTACTGCTGTTGCCGCGTGAATATAGCCCTTCCCTCTCAGCAGGGTATGCACCCATGGGGCTTTGGGGCTGGAGGTGTGGGGAAGGAGCGGAGCCACCTGAAGGAGACCCGAGAAGCTAAGAGGGGAAAAGCTGTTGTTTATGTGACAGCCCATGTTGACAGCCCCGTGTGTCAGTGCACAGGGCGGTTCCTCCTGGACTAGTCTGAGGGACTGACAGCCAGGAAATGTGGATTCCAGGAAAAGAACGACCCTCACTCATATCCCATAGACCTCTGAGACCTGGGGACCAAATGATCGCTATCACATCTCCTGCTTCTACATCCCAGGGACACCAACCAGGGATTTCCTGGGAGCAGAAACCCCCCAGAAGTTTCCCTGTGATGCTGGGTAGAGCACAAGCTGCAGCCACAAATGCAGGAGGATTGTGCGGCCACCGGATGTGCGGAGAAGACAAAGGTGAGACTTCCTAAATCATAGCGTGGGATCACGTGCCAGAGACACGCAACTGCTTTCTACTGTCTTCCAGGAAGGATCTGAACTTTTTCCCCCTCCAACAAAGGAATATCTGCTGTTTTTACCATTAATCAGCTGTAATGAAAGAATATGAAGAGCTGTCATGGGCTTATTAGTGAAAATTAACAGACATTCTTTTATGTGGTGGAGTAACACACTGAGCTGATGACGCTATAGTGCACACTAAATTACAATTAAAGGCCTTTCTGCTCCACCAGAATCTCATTTATAATCTCAACGGAAATATTCTTCCTGCAGTTATTTCATTTATGCTTCCTTTATGTAATTACTATAATATTGGTTCTGAATCATATTTTCCTAATGTGCCCTTATTCAATTATAAAGTTATTTTCAAGTGTAGTTACTTTCTAATACCAAAGAGCGTGATTTGGCCATCTCTGTCGTCTGCCGAGCTTCTTAATTGAAGATTGTTCATGAGTCATTTTCCTCTCCTCTTCTGAGGGTGAAATACCCAATAAATCATCATCTCCTGACTCGGCCCATTTCTCAAATGTATATATTAGCCTGAACTGATGTCCCAGTGATGAGTCTGGTTCGGTTAGAAACTGAACTATGTATCTTCAACATATGCTCCTGCTTTGTTGGATTTCTCAGCTTACATAGAAAGAATAGTTTCAACTCAAATGTTCTGGGTTTCGGTGGAATGGAAATCTATTCTGGAACAGGTTCTTTTCTTTTCTTTTCTTTTTTCTTTAGGTCTCTCAGCTTAAGAAGGAGGACTTATAAAAACAGTGAGTCAATAAAACGTTCTTTTTAAAGACAGTCTCCTAAGGTAAGAGACAAAGCTCCTTCGGAAGGGTTGGTATGCTCTGGCGTGCTGCGAGGTCATAGGCAAGGCTCCCTGAGCAGGGCAGGGTGAGTGCTAATTGGGGTCTGTGTGCTGAAAGAGAGGCCACCGAGCTGGGCTGGGAACGCTCCTTACAGCTGGGACTAAAGGAGATGGGAGATGTACTCACTGAGCAGTGTTCCCTGGCCAGGCTTTAGGGAAGGGTGGGTTATGTTTCTTAGGACTCTCAAGTGACCAAAATGTGGGATATTAAAGTCCCCAGGCTACGCACACCATGTGACCCCTTACAGGGACCGGCTGTGTGCAGTGATCGTCATGAACCCCGCACCAGGGAATTTAGGAACACTTACACTTAATGAACAACCATTAAACAAAAGAAGGAGACTGTGTTTCCTATGGGAGAGACAGTTTAAACTTAATTTGAAATTTCTAAGCAGCAACATTTAATTGTAAAGTTCATTGTTTGTCCACACTTTATAAAATGTGTTCTTGGTTAAAGAACTTTGTAACAGGCAAGGCTGTCTCTCCTGTTGCTGGGTCTCAGGTCAGGGCTGATCACAATGGGAGTTTCTGTCAGCTTCTAACTTCAATCAGGAGCATCAGTGAGACCCTTGGCTGGGTTAGAAATTGACGGTTTGCCACAGGCCTAAGGGACTAGTCACAGGTGTGTAGTTAACTGCAGCTCTCCTGGCCAAGCTGTAGGTCTGCTGTGCCAGCCACGGCTGCACTGGGGTAGCCACAGGTCTGTTGTGTCTTGCCAGGAAGGAAAAGGCTGCAGTGTGGACCGTGTGTTCCCCTCCGAGCCCCTACTGTCAGATCCAGACTGCCATAACGTTCTCCAGGTTTAAAAACACAGCTCTTTTGTGCAAAGAGTTTGGGGATAGTGGACTTTGTTTTCTAGTCATATATTTCTAAGCTAGCAAAATAGTGGATATTGTTCTTCTTGGTCTTAATTTTACTTAGCAAATCGCTTTAGAGTTAGGATAAGAACTGACCAAATGACACTTTTCACAAGAAGGGTTGGGCCACTAAGTGTACATTAACTATAATAGTATGTGTTTTAGAACTAGGAAAACCTCACAGAAATTAATTATGAGTTCAGTCTGATAACTGGAAGTCGCTGACGCTTCTTTTCACCAGGAAGTGAGGTCATCAAGTTTCTAGAAGGTAGGTAGCTGAAGGTCCACTTCTGTGTGGGCAGCCACCGTTTGAGGCTTCCCAGGGTACCTCAATGCCCTGTGTTCCATCCCTCTGTAGACCCGTGTAGCTCATAACCCCTCCCCTTTGACCTTACCTTGTGCCACGTCCTGACATTCTGAATGCATCCATGGGGGGGCGTCTTTTCTGCAATTTCCCTACACGTTCTCTCCCTGCCCAGGTCTTTTCATACTTGTGGGAACACTGTCTTGGAGCTCAGCCTGAAGCATCATTTCAAGAAAGCCTTTGATTATCTAGACCACTGAGTTTTTCAAAACTCTGCAACTTATAGTGAGAAATACACTTGACACCAGTAAGTGGGTATGACTGATTTTCATTTCACTTTTAAAGTGTGTGACTTAATTGATTTTAGTGTATTCACAGATAAAATGATCACTGTTAAGGTTAGGACATTTTCATATGTAAAAAACATTACCTATAATCTATCTGACACACACGTGCATCATCGTCACGTGCCATCTGTGATAAGTTTTGAGTTGGTACCCACGTGGCAGGACCACAGTCATCTAGGACAGGGTGTGATGCTCTCTTCTGGCATGCAGGCATACATGCAGATGGAAAGTACATACATAAATACACAATTTAAAAATGTTTACTTTATGTGCATGTATGTTTTGCCTACATGCATGTGCTTATACCGTGTGTGCCTGGTGCCCATAGAGGCAGAAAAAAAGTGTTAGATTCCCTTGGGCTGGAGCCACAGGTGATTTTAAGCCACCATGTGAGTCTCATGTCCTCTGCAAGACCTCTGCTCTAAACCTCAGGGCCATCTCTCCAGCTCCTATCATCCAGTCTTAATGCGCATGATGGGAAACATTGCCCTGGACCATGTTTGTCTCCTGCCATACACGTTACAGCTCCGTTTTCTTCCTGTCACTGCTTGGTGAACGTCTAGGGCTATGAGTTTGGAGGGTGCCATCTTGCTTTTTACTATCTCCAGAGGCAGATAGATGCAAGGTGCAGTGTTGAGCAAGTAGTGGGTTTTCAATGAGTTACAGTTGACAGTGTGGCTGTGCATCTTTGAAAGAGAAAAATAATCTCTCTCTCTCTCTCTCTCTCTCTCTCTCTCTCTCTGTGTGTGTGTGTGTGTGAACGTTTGTGACTCCCACAGGCCTCCCTATCACTCTTCAGGGGCTGCCCACTTTCTCTCGTGGGACATTGCTTCTCCTTGGTGTGGATGGAATTCATCAGGTGGGCTAGGGTTGCAAGCCCACTGGTTCTGCTGTCGCCCAGCACTGGGATTCTGAGCATGTTCTGAGCATGCACCACCACGCCCCCGCCCTCACCTTTCTGCATGGTTTCTGGGGAATCAAATCCAGGTCCCCATTCTAGCGCAACAAGCACCTTGGAAACTGAGCCATCGCCCCACACTTCCCTTTGCCATAAATGAAGCTTCTGTGCCCCACTTTTCCCTAATGTCGGCCAGCCGCCACTTAGCCTGTTTTCTTAAAAAGGACTTGGTCATGAATTACTCAGTAATGGTCACTGCGCATCATGTCACCGCCTGATACAGTCCGAGTGACCCAACATGTGAGACCCATTGAGGCTGATGGCCTGAGCTATGGGGCTCGCCGCCCCTGCTTCCCTTGCGTCCCGCGCCCCCGCGCCCCCGTACCTGTCTTTGCCTGTCTCCCGCTTGAAGAGCTCGTCAAACTGCAGCATCTTGTGGCGTGTGATCATGAAGGCCTTCAGCCGGGGCAGCACCTGGCTGAGGAGCTGCAGGTTGTTGTACACCTGACCCTTGCCATCACGCCGCATGTAGCTGCTGGGGCCCCAGAAGATGAACACGGTGCCCTGGCTCACGTTGAGCAGGTCATGGCGGTTGCGGAGGATCCTTTGGATGCTGGAATGTGCGATGACGCGCAGGCTGGTGCGGTTGCCCACATCAGGCCCATAGCCTCGGGTGGGGGCGTCATTCATGCGGATAACACACTCTGTCTGATCGATCTGGGGGCCCTGCTGACTACGCAACAGATGCCCCGAGCTGGTCACCAGGGCGCAGTCTTTGCAATGCATTCTCAGGGGCTGCAAGACAGAGGAGGAGAAAGATGGCGTCAGGCGCACAGGCTACATACAACCCTGTCTTCAGATGCAGATGTCCCCTCCCTTCTTCCTACCCCACACCCCTACCTCCGCCTCATGCCAGATTATGTCTGGTCCATTGCAGCGGCACGAATCTTTGCTTGCGGTTTCTTCTAAGCTGCAGGCAGAGGCTGTTAGGCTAGGCAGAAGGCTGGTGTTATCTGTCACTGGCTCGGGACTTAAGTCCCTGTGTGAACAGGTGACCTAGCGTGGTTGTTAGGCTTAGTTAGGTTAGAGATGGGAAGAAGGCATACTTTCAACACTACGTCTTTCCGAATCCAAAGTTGGCCCAAGACAAAGCAAAGCATCGTCTGCAAATTGCTGTGACTTGGGTTTGACACTCAGTCATCTCCTTGGGAAGCTAAGTGGTTATTATGTAAGGCTCTGGGATGCTGTGCAAGCATGTCGACCCTCCATACATACCGGTCAGGAATCACACCAGCAATGACATGCAGCTTCAATACTGAAGTTTTGCGATTATGAATGCACTATTTTTTTTTTTCTTGATTTAAGGTTTGGGAAAGGCAGAAACTGCAGTACCCTGTCCTCATCCACGTAAACAAAGCTTTGTGCTCACAGCTTAAACGTCTCCTGCTCACGTTCAATGGGAATACCTCATCTCTGTTTTAAGGAGATAATGAAATTGAGCCTGAACCCAAAGCCAGGAAATTCAGAAGACAATGACGATCAGGATGTTGTTTGTTTTGAGACAGGGCTCCACTTAGCCCCGGGTGAGCTCAAACTCACTATGCAACCAAGAATAACGAACTTGTGACCCTCCTGCGTCTACCTCCCAAGTGCTGAGATTACGGGCACGGGCCACCACACCCAGTTCATGCTGCTCGGGGAACTCAGGGCTTAGTGGCAGGCACTAACTGAGCCCTGGTCAAAGCACCGGGATGGAAAGTTCTCTCACTGAATTCTCCCCGCTCTGTCCTTTTCTGTCAACTGGATCCTTCTCCGAACTGCAGATACTCAGTCTTGTGTTTACTGTGAGAGTCCCTAAACCATGGGTGTGTGTCAGTCTTAATGAGTGCTCCCCAGGACCTTCTCTCAGGGCAAGGTGGGGCCAGCTTTGTTTGCAACATCTGTTAGCTATGGGAAGTTGTAATCTCCACAAGCCTTCCTTTCTTCAACTTTACCAGAGGACAACAGCCCTTTCTGCCTTGATAGAAGGGGGAAAATCCCAAGATACGGGTGGGTAGTTTCGATTAAGGCATAAAAATCAGTACTGTCTGACCTGTGAAAATAGCTGTTGCGTGTAGCTGAGCCCAGCTGAAGCATGGGACTAATCACAGGATTAGTCAATGAACAGCAGCGGTGTGTGCTCAAATCTATCACTTACATGGAGGTGCCCACCTGTAATTCACCACTGTGGAGGCAGAGGCAGGAGAATCCCTGGGATTCTAACAGAGCAAAACAAAGAGCAACTACAGGATGCAGTTAGACATATAGGGAAACAGAACCCCCCCCCCACACACACACACACATACACAAACGTTAAACTTTGGCGAGGCACTGTGGCTGAAGGGATGCATCAAGGTACGGTAGTGTTTATGATGGAGGAGGTCTGGGCTGGAATCTGGTTGATAGGGGTTAATTAGGTCACTGCAAGGCTGTAAAAACGGGTGGGAGGAGCTAATAGTTACTGAGCGCTCTGCATGAGGCAGGAGCTTCTCTAAGCTTACTACATAGTCATATTTGTCTTTCAAATAATAATAGTTATTATTCCTACTACTTTACAAATTAGAAGTTTGAAGATTAAAAAAGGTATTTAAGATCACGCAGTTAAGAAAAAGAGAGGTGGGCTAGGCCGGCAGGGATTCTGGCTCTAGAACCAATGGGATTGACTAACCATTAGGCTAGCACAGTGCAGTAGAGTAAGCAGAGTGTTGGGCAATATCAGCTTCATCCACTGGCTCCCTCCTGCAAACCCAGGAAGATATTTCCTAGTTGTGAGCGCTCCAACTCTTAGATGAAGTGAAACAAGTTTTCCAGCCAGCATCCCCTTCCTGTGAGGACCGTTTAGAGTAGAAGTCACTGGTTAGGACCCCGTGTGCACCAGGGTAACATATGGTCAAGCCCCGATCATCCTGAGCAAGAGCCATCTGTTCACCCTAGCCAATCTGGGGATCTAGAGGAAGGACACTGCCAAGTCCTGTGTAAGCTTCTGGGGGAGAATGTTCCACATTTTACCGTCACATTCTGAGTGCAAATTATTCAGGGTTCAGCATGGTTTATTCAATGACATTAGCTTTTTTGTCACTAAGATGTTGCAGTAGAGTGACGCAGTGGCTTGCTCTCTCCCAGCTGGGCCAATCAGGAAGCAGAGAGGGGACAGGAAATGGGGCAGGGCTATAAACCATAGAGTTCCATCTCTCTCTTCCAGCTAGATTCTCCCCCACTCCCTAAGGCTTCCACAAGCTTCCAAAAGGGCACCAGCAGCAGTGTTAAGACAGACAAATTAGGGGCGGGATGTCCTACAACTCAGCCGTAACACAGAGTCCTCCTGTGTATCAGACACTGAACCTGGCGCTGATGATGAGATTCCCTCAAGGAGCTAGCGGTGCAGGCAAAGGATGCGCTCATAAAGGACCCGCAGTAAGGGAAGAACCAACCAATCCCGCATCCGGCACAAGGGCCTCTGGAACCCAAGATAAGGGACTGTTGGGCTTGAAAAACAAAAAAGCCAGAAAGGTAGGAGGGGGACAGGGGCAGGGCGGAAACCAACGGAAGAGATGGTTTTGAGCAGGGAGAAGTCACAGGTGTCCAAAGTGTCCTTTGCAGCTGGTGACTGGGACCCAGACAGTTTCCAGGAACAAAGGGCAGCAGGCACAGGGAGACTGAGAACATGACTCCGAGGGTTGGAGGAGGCCTGCCCGCAGAGAACAAGACATGCAGGACCGACCCTAACACTTGCCAGTCCTGGGAAAACAAGATCCTGGAGCCACAGCATCGCCACTCACGGGAGGGCCTCAGAAGCTTCTGCAGGTGGTGAGCCTCTCAGATGGGGGGTGGTGGAGTGGGGGTCAGGAGGCCCAGTCTGTGGCTGATCTCAGAACGAGTTCACTAACCTTCTAACCTTCTTACATTTATTTTTAAAAGAACAACAGGACGAGTTAGACAGTTGTAGCCAGTGATGCAGATTCCATCCCCGTTTGTTGACCCTGACATTCATTTGAAGGCCTTTAATGAATACTTCATATGCCCCGAGGTACCAAATAACTCAGAACATTTTCTTCATTAGGTTACTTTATTGGTTTTTTACTTTTTTATGTTTTTTATTAGCATGTATTAATCATATGTAACAGTGGGTTTCATTATGAAATTTTCATACATGTATATAATGTATTTTTAATAATATCAACCCTAAATCAGCCACCTTTGTCCCCCTTTGGCTGGTTCTTTACTCTTCCTAACCTTTCTATTGTGTGTGTGTGTGTGTGTGAGAGAGAGAGAGAGAGAGAGAGAGAGAGAGAGAGAGAGAGAGAGAACTTGCTTGAGGGCTGCTTACAGGAGCCTGGGCACTTTACACCTCTGACAAAATGTCTTTTTTTCTCCCCCAGTGATTAACCACATATACATATCTCAGGAGAACGGGGCCTTGTGAGCTTCGCCTCCCTCCCTGACTGGGTGTTGACTGTTGATCTTGTCAGAGCTGCTGTTAGCTGGGGAGTGTAGCGGAGCCCCACCCATCACGGATGATAGACAGGGACCCACAGCTCCTCCTCCCTTCTCTGGCTCTGAGGTGTGGGCGTCAGATCCATCCGAAAGTGGTTGGCTATCCCCCACAACAGTCCCTACTGTATCAGTGGCATTCTCCTCTGGATGGCCACTAGAATAGCGCTAGGGACCATTCTCCGCGGTGGCCTGCGCCTTCTCGCATTGAGAGGACTGGACAGCAGAGGGGATGCTACCGGCCCAGTTCCCGCTGACTTTTCTATATCCTGTGATGAAAGCTGTGGTAATTAGGTCTCACGATCTGGTTCCAGGGGGCAACCGTCCTCAGTGTCTCTTGCTCATACCGCTTCAGGACTTCCAGGGTCTCCAGACAACAGCTTGTCGGGAGGTAGCCCACCCCTGGCCCTCCTCCATCGGTTCATTCCAGTGGATCCTACTTCCGTCCGTGTAAGCTGAACTCTACAGGCTGGTTTTGAAACTCCAGGCACTTTATTCGCTGTGACTGAGGACCCTAAAGAGGGATCCCAGTAGCTCATTTCCGTGTAATTACTTTGCTAACTTCTCACAGCTGTGGCTGGCTGACACGTGAAACAGCTCACCGCAGGGACCGTGTTCTTTTTCTCCTCTATCTTTCCCTAAGGTCTTTGCAGGACAGGAGAAGGCTCCGGACCTGCCCTACACATCCTTGTGGTCCCGGGACTCAAGCAGAGCCCAGCAGGAAGGAGTTGACCACACCCAGCCAGCCTTGGCTCCTCTTCCCTGCCCACCTAGCTCTGCTTGCTCTACTGGCTAGCTGCTACTCTTCACACTGAGGTCCTGGGCTGCGTGGTGCAGAGGGAAGGCAGAATCCTGCCTCAAGTGCCCATTGCTAAGGGCGTCAGGACCATCAGCTCCGCTCGTCCACACGTGACGTCACACTCCAGGCATCTGAGAAGACAGTACGGAGGAAGGGACCACTTGCAAACAGGAAGTGGAGTCTGCTTCCTGCATTCAGAAGGACTGATGATGGCCTGGAAGCAGAAGACTAAAAACCACATGAACTGTGTGCTTCTTAGGGTGTTTTTGCAGTCCTTACTGAGTCAGGCGGAGCAGTCACAGGAGGTGAGTTGGTCCCATGCACTGCACCTGTGTGCTCCTCCTGAGTGGGGGGATGTGGCGCCCACAGGTTGCTAAGTAGAGCGTGAAAGACCGACTTTGGGTTCTCCCAGGGGAGTCTTTACCTAGAAGGACAGCTTGTCTGGCTTCTTCCACACAGTCT